TTTTTGTGATTTATTGTAGAGACAAGGTCTCACCAAGTTGCCCAGACTGGTCTCAAACCCACGGGCTCAGGCAATCTTCTCACCTCAGCCTCCCAAAGTGCTAGGATTACAGGCTGAGCCACAGCGCCCGGCCCCAATATCATTCTTTACAGGGAGGGAAAAAAGGAAGCCAGTTGAAGTCTTTCGTTTTTTTTTCTTCTTTTCTTCCTTCCTTCCTTCCTCCCTTCCTTCCTTCACATCCTCTTTCCTCCCTCCCTCCCTTCACATCCTCCTTCCTCCCTCCCTCCCTTCTCTTTATATTAATAAATATGTAGTCCCTACTGTGTGCCTTCACTGCAGCAGGCACTACACAAACAATAGTTAACATAACATAACCTAGTCACGAAGACAGATATATATCGGAGATTATCAACTTGCAGTTTTAATGTCTATTGGGGCCCACACATGACTTTTGTTTGACCCATACAATATCTTTTTAATTACTTTTGTTTGACCCATACAATATCTTTTTAATTACATTTTATTTTATTTTGCTATATAGTCAGAGCCTCACCCTGTCTCCCAGGCTGGAGTACAGTGACAAGATCATGTCTTCACTGAAGCCTCGCTATCTCCTGGGTTCAGGCTTCAGCCTCCCAAGTAGCTGAGACTACAGGCACACACCACCACATCTGGCAATTTTTTTTTTTGTAGAGGCCAGATCTCACTATGTTGCCCAGGCTGTTCTCAAACTCCTGGGTTCAAGGGATCCTCCCACCTCCACCTCCCAAAGTGCTGGGATTACAAACATGAGACAAAGCGCCCAGCCTTCTCAATATTTTAAAACCAGGACGTTTTACATAAGAAGTCAGAATTCTGTATTCTAATTTTTTGTTGTTGTTGGAAAATCATAATAGCACTGAGCTCCTTGTTCTCTCAAAAGAACAACTTTCAGATATGAGCGAGCACTGCCCTGCTTGAAGACATCGAGTTCTCCCCAGTCTTCAAGCAGCCTCCTTCACTCAGTGGTGAGCATGGCTGGGCACTATGACTCACACGTAGAATCCCAGCACTTTGGGAGGCCCAGACAGGAGGATTGCTTGAGCCCAAGAGTTCCAGATCAGCCTGAGCAACATAGTGAGAACTCCTCTTTACAGAAAAAAAAATTTTTTTTTTAATTACCAGGTGTAGTGCACACACTTGTAGTCCCAGCTACTCAAAGAGGCTGAGATGGGAAGATCTCCTGAGCCCAGGAGTTCCAGGCTGTGGTGACCCGTGATTGTGCCACTGAACTCCAGTCTGGGTAACAGAGACCCTGACTGAAAAGCAAAACAAAACAAGCACTGAGCTTGTCTGTGTGAACTGCACAGCTTCTAATAGTGGTGAATGTTACAAAAGAAAAGTGCTTTATCAGAGGATAGAAGAGGAAAACCTAATTTAGACTGAGGGCTAAGGATGATCTCTTTGATGCCATGCCATTTTTAACTGTGCTCAATAGTGCCACTCACCTCTTAGGAGCTATTTGTCCAAATAATAAGTATCATTGATTGGGAGTCTATTGGTGCCAGGTATCTTATTCAATTCTCACAGAAACAATTCTGCATAATCCCTGTCTTGCTGATGAAACACCTGAGATGAACTACTTGAGGCTCAAGAAGGTCAATTAGCCCAAATATGCAGAACCAAGGTGGAAAACTGGGGTCTGAACCAAGCCCTGATTGATTCCAAATGACATGCTCATTTCAGTACAAAGAGCTACTTCAAATGTGTCCCAGTCCAATTCCACGAGTCAGTTCTTCTTTGTTCCTACCAAAGCACAAGATAAGAGTACTCAACAGAGCTCCCCTGATTCTTCTTACAAGGAGATTGACTTAGCTTCTACCACTTACCCACAGAGAGAGCAGGGTCACCATCTGAGACCAGTCAGTTCTGCATTTGGAGTCCTGAAGCTCTGGCCAGGTCTTGGGACCTGAGGATGCTTTTAGTGATTCTTACCTGAGACGGTTTATCAGGGCAGGTGCGTGGGTAACATCCGTCTTGCTTGCCATGTTGGTAGGGATTTCCTGCCTCTACCAATCAGCTGAGACTTCCCATCCCCACATCAACATAACTTAAATTTTGTTTTGCCTGTATCATTTAACCAGTTGTAAAATCATCTACAGAATTCTGGTTTGATCTTAGGCTTTCCTCTCAAACCTCTGGATCAGAATGGATGGATATTGGCTGTACCCATTCTTCCTTTTTTTTGAGTTGGAGTCTCACTCTGCTGCCCTGGCTGGAGTGCAGTGGTACACTCATGGCCACCTGGTGTCAACCTGCTGGGTTCTGGTGATCCATCCGCCTCAACTTTCCGAGTAGTCAGAACTATAGGTGCGCACCACCACGCCTGGCTAATTTTTAATTTATTGTAGAGACGAGGTCTTGCCAATTTGCCTAGGTTGATCTTGAACCCGCAGGCTCAGGCAATCTACTCATCTCAGCCTCCCAAAGTGCTTGGGATTACAGGCTGAGCCACAGAGCCCGGCCATTCTTCTTTTTTATCATGAGACTTTTTTGACCACTCAAATCCCTTATCATGGTGCCTTTTCTAAATTCTCACCCCCCAACTCATCCAGGATCCCAATTAAAGAGTATCAGAAAGTAGTCTCAGTGGCTCACACCTATAATCCCAGCAATTTGGAAGGCATGAGTGGGAGGGTTATTTAAACCCAGGAGTTTGAGGCTGCAGTAAGTGATGATTGGGCCACTGCATTCCAGCCTGGACGACAGAGTAAAACTCTGTCAAACCTCCCTCCAAAAAAGAAAGTAGTTTTCCTAAAGCATCACTGTGTTGCTATCATCTCTACCCTTCAATTCAAATTAAATTGTAAATTGAAGTATAACATATGACATTTTGAAAGTGAAACCACAAAAAGGAAGTTATATGTATATTTGCTTTTTTCTCTCCAAGGCCAAGACAAAAATCTAGGTAATCCAATTTTTAAAGAAAGCAGAATCTCAGAATGCATGGCATAGTGTATTTCTTAGCTTCACAACACTACAGTCTACACCACCAAGGCATTTTTTTCTTTTTTTCTTTTCTTTAGTCTGTCCCCCCATTAGCAGAAACATTTCTATTTTTTTTTTAGATCTTATTTTCCTCATTAATAAATTTGTTTTTCTAGTCAGTTTGGCAGACTAAGCTGATGGAAGAAATCTTTCCACTTTAAGCTCATAGGAATGCAGTATAAAATATTTTTTAAATGTTAAGATATAATGTTAAGACAGAAATGAGCTGGAAATCAAGACATGAAACTCCTAGGAATGTTGCAGAATTTAGAACGGTAATTGGGAGCTGAAGTCAAAAGGCCAACAGAGGAATCAGAGTTGAATACATGCCTGAACAGTTGGGGTTTGTGACATTAACACCTATGTGAGGAAGGGAGTAGAGGACTCTATATTGTGCCAGGACTCACAAAGGGCTGGCCCTTGTGAAATAGAGTCTAGAAAAATTTGGCCACCAGTCCAGGGAAGCAGCAAGGAAACTTGTTCCCACAAATGGAAAAACAGTCCTGTGGAGAAATCTGAGACCCAGGGCTTTGCCTTGTGTAGAAGTGAGGTGGAAATTCTCACTGTTTGCATAATGCAAGGACCTCAAGGCTAAAAAATTAACATACAATCTGTTCTGAGAATGTAGAACCCCATGGGTCCCCAGTCAATGAGGAAAAGAAAACCGTTTTGTAGGAACACTCCAACAATCTAGCTTACAAGAAACTGTCATAGAAAATGAGTTTATAGTAAAAAATTAGAAACCACACCAGAAAATAAATCACCATGAGGAAAAGTCAGCAGGTAGGACAAAGGTGATCATTTATACCTGGAAATGCTTTTAGTAAAACGATGAAAAGAGCTTAAAACATCTATGTTTAACATACTGGCAGAGTAGCATAAAGAATAGAAAATGTGCCGGGCTCGGTGGCTCAGCCTGTTATCCCACGCCTTTGGGAGGCTGAGGTGAGTGGATTGCCTGAGCCTGCGGGTTCGAGACCCGCCTGGGCAGCGAGACCTCATCTCTACAATAAATAAAAAAATCAGCCGGGCGTGGTAGCGCATGCCTGTAGTTCCGGCTACTTGGAAGGCTGAGGCGGAAGGATCACCGGAGCCCGGCAGGTCGAGGCTGCGGTGGCCGGAAGCAGCCACTGCACTCCAGTCTGGGCGACAGAGTGAGACTCCAACTCAAATAAAATAAAATAAAATAAACAATAAAGAAAATTAATGATTGAACCAGAACTGGTACCATCAAGCCCTGCTCTGCTAACTCCTAAGGATGATTTGGAACAAAAGAAAAATAAGAATTGTGTTTAAAACTGCTCTCCCAGCCGGGCTCGGTGGTTCAGCCTGTAATCCCGCACTTTGGGAGGCTGAGATGAGTGGATTGCCTGAGCTCGCAGGTTCGAAACCCGCCTGGGCAGGCAAGACCTCATCTCTACAATAAAATTAAAAAATCAGCCGGGCATGGTAGTGCGTGCCTGTAATTCTGGCTACTCGGAAGGCTGAGGCGGAAGGATCGCTGGAGTCCAGCAGGTCGAGGCTGCGGTGGCTGGGAGCGGCCACTGCACTCCAGTCTGGGCGACAAAGTGAGACTCCAACTAAAAAAATAAATAAATAAATACTAATAATAATAATAATAATAATTGGCCGGGCTCAGTGGCTCAGCCTGTAATCCCAGCACTTTGCGAGGCCAAAGTGAGTGGATTGCCTGAGTCCGCGGGTTCGAGACTCGCCTGGGCAACTTGGCGAGACTTCATCTCTACAATAAATCAAAAATTAGCCGGGCATGGTAGCGCGTGCCTGTAGTTCTAGCTACTTGGAAGGCTGAGGCGGAAGGATCGCCGGAGCCCAGCAGGTCGAGGCTGCGGTGACCGGGAGCGGCCACTGCACTCTAGTCTGGGTGACAGAGTGAGACTCCAACTCAAAAAATAATAATAATAGTAGTAATAATAATAATAATTTAAAAACTGCTCTCCCATGATCACCATGTAAGAAAAAAAAATGAGCTGGGCATGGTGGCTCACAACCCTAATCCCAGCACTTTGGGAGGCTGAGGCAAGGGAATTGCCAGAGCCCAGGGCTTTGAGACCAGCCTGAGCAACTTGGTGAGATCTCATCTCTACAGTAAATAAAAAAATTAGCCAGGTGTGATGACACACTTGTGGTTCCAGCTATCTGGAAGGCTGAGGCAGAAGAATTGCTTGAGCCCAGCAGGTCGAGGCTGTGGTGGCCGTTGAGAGTGCCATTGCACTCCACCCTAGGCGACAGATTGAGACTCCGACTCAAAAAAAAAAACCAAAGCACCCTTTTAGCAAATGAAATGCATCCAGCACACCTTTCACTTCAATGACAAGGAAAAAAAAAATAATGATTAAATTGTATGCATGTGAATTTCAGAGAAATCCTATATAGAAACAAATTTCATTAACCAGCCTTAATTGTGTTCCAAAGTTACCCCTCCAATAGGTTTAAACACTAAGCTCCTAGGGAGGAACAGGGACACAGGATGGCTCAAGTGCAGTATTACTGTAGGGAATAAACGGTGCCCTTATGACCTGAAAGAGTTAGTATAACTGCCCTCCCCCCAAATTTATTACTAGAAAGGCCTGTGAGAAATGATTTGACCCTGGAAAGAAAAAAGCCCATTTGTTCCCAAGGTTTTTTAGTCAAAAAGCCCAGCATAGACCCCCTCTTTCTATCTCCAAACTTCCATTACTGCCTTAAAACCTTATTTTGTAAACCAAAATTTTAAACTATAAGACTGCTTTTTCTCACGAGGCAAAGGAAAAAAAAACACCTCTATGATTAATGCTCTAGCTAAAAGCATAGAATGTAGAATGGGAAGATTATTTATGGTTCTTCTCTTTAGGAGCTAATAGAGTCAGATGTTAGCCTAAAAGGTTGAAAATCCTACAGTGGGAATTTTTTTTTCAACAGATGAAAGTAGCTTCTGGAAAGCAGCATAAATACTGTCTGCAGTAAGCCAGAAGCACTAATAATTTTGCTATAAGTGCTCAGTCAAAAGGAGATGAACATGTTAAATGTTATTAAAAAATGGACAGCATATTATCTTGAAAGCCACAGTGAAATAGTAGCCTAAGTGACAAGCACTGCTTTCAGTGCTGTGCTTTAAGATGGTCGGTGGTTGAGGGGATTTACTAGGCCTCCTTTCCATATAGTCAAAGCCCATTCAGGAGCTCAAATGTACTACGGATTGAATTTCCAATTTCTAGTTATTTTTTCCCCAAGGCTGCTAAATTTCTTTTTTCCTAAACTATTCATTCTTCTTAGTCTAATTCTGCTTGAAACACCTGCTTTGTTCATTATACAAGATAGGCAAGTGAGTATGACACTTGATTTCACTACTTTTGACATTGTTAAAATTTAATTTGGCAGAGAAAGGTTTCTTGATTTTCTTTTCAAATAGGGTATTTCCAGTGAAAAGTTTTGTTCCCTTTTGAACAATCAGACATGCCAAAAGTTTCCTCTTCATTAGTGATGTTATTTTTTTTAAATGCATTTAATAAATTACTGGGAACAAATAAAGAAAGAGAAGTTTGAAAATAAAAGGCCTGGCCGGGCTCGGTGGCTCAGCCTGTAATCCGCGATTTGGGAGGCCGAGGTGAGTGGATTGCCTGAGCCCGCGGGTTCGAGATCCACCTGAGCAACTTGGCGAGCCTTCATCTCTACAATACGTCAAAAATGAGCTGGGCGTGCAGTTCCTGCTACTCGAAAGGCTGAGGCGGAAGGATCGCCGGAGCCGAGCAGGTCGAGGCTGCGGTGGCCGGGAGTGGTACTGCACTCCAGTCGGGGCGACAGAGTGAGACTCTAACTCAAAAACAGAAAAGAAAAGGCCTGAGCCTGTCTCCACAAAAAAAAAAAGAAGAAGAAAAATTAGCCAGGCATGGTGGCCCACCTGTTGTCCCAGCAACTTGGGAGGCTGAGATGGGAGGATTGCTAGAGCCCGGGAGTTCGAAGCTGAAGTGAGCTGTGATTGAGCCTGGACAACAAGAAAAAA